TTCTGATGATTTTCTTTTTTTGTGCCAATAATGGGGACTTTTCAGCAAAAATTACAAAATTAATTTTGCTTGAAAATTCGCCTCATTCATCGGTTTGCAGGGAACTTTAGAAAAGTTATTTCAGCTTCGAATTTGGCACAAAAACCAAATAATTTTATTCAGTTTTTTACCGAAAGCAATTAAGTTTATCTTGAAAAAACGGGTTAATATTCAATCACTCTGTATATACAAGTGATAAACAGTAGCGGTAAAGACGAGTTTTACTCAAAACTGTACAGTTAGCGAAATAATTTGCAATCGTGTGTTTAAATTAGTCTTAAAAATTGCATATTGGACAGAATTTTCGAAAATTTTTCAAAAATGAACATCTTTTATACAGGAAAAACTGCTTCATTTGCAAGATTTAGCATTGACAATTAGCATGACGCATGCTTCAATATTTAGGCTTATTAAAATGCAGGAATCGTTAAATCGAAATTAATGTTGTGTGTGTCATACACGCACGAATTATGAAAAGATAATTTTGACCTAAAATCATTTGTTCGAGACTTTTACCTCCAAAATCATTAAGATTTTCTCAAAAGCCGATTACAAAACGAAAAGTTTTAAATCAACAACGCAAAAAACAAAATTTTATTATGATTTTCTTCTTTTCTGACAATAATGGGGTCTTTTCAAACAAAAATTTTGCCTCAATCATCGGTTTGCAGGGAACTTTAGAAAAGTTATTTCAGTTTCGAATTTGGCACAAAAACCAAATAATTTTATTCATTTTTTCTACCGCAAGTAATTAAGAATATCTTGAAAAAACGGCCAGGTAGCAAAAGTTTCCAAAAAATTATTTGGAAAATTCGCCACCCTCGTCGCTCTGAAGATTTTTCAACTTTCGTAAAAATTTCAGGTCATTCCAGTTTTCGCAAAATTTCTATTAAACAATTTTTGCTACGCAAAAAAAGTATTATTTTCAGTTTTACTTAAAATACTGACAATCTTCAGGTATTTTCTGTGAAAATTATGAAATAAATTCTATTGGACCAGTCGGCTCCTGAAAAGCTTTGTAAATTTTTTCTGGAACCTTTCGCAGCTTCGAGTTTTGGACGAAACCCTAATAAATTTTTCTAAATTTTTTCCCAAAAATATTTTTCCGAACAGAACAAGTAAATGTTTATAATAAATTATTGTGAATAATTTGGTTTATTTAAATTCCGGTTTCTTCACTTTCAGGTCAATATTTGTAAACAAAATTTTCTCTAAACAGAACAACGCATTTTTTTGAACGTTTTACTGTAAA